TTTCAGCTTAATATCTGAAAGTTCCCTCACTGAGGGACCAGTATATTAAACTGATTTTTGTAAACTGACGGGATGTTCGGGGCTCGCTCCACTCCCGTCACGGGTCGGCCCGGCATTGCAGTGCCGCCGGGATCGGCCCACAGATATATTTGAAAATTATTAATAATCGCAATACTGCGTTCATGTAGTAAACGTATCCAAGAACCAACAGGTAATAAAGTCTGAATTATCAATTATTTACACTACTCCAAACGAGAAGTCGAGACCTCAAACAAAGCAATTAGCTAAAACAGCCTCCGAGAAAAGAGCCTAGATACTTTTTATATCTTTTTCTATAGGTCTTTTTATATAAGACCGACAAAGAACTGATAACTCCTCTTCATCAGGTCAGGTTCCAACGACACTCGCCACTAAGCCACATAAAATAACATAAAAAAATGCGTGGTAACACTCAACTCTTATTTTCATTTTCATTAAAAAAGTGTTGAGTTTTTTTTTTTTCTAGGTACGGTGATTTTTTCAACCACGGTTAATTTTCCACACTCAACACTGATTGAACTCCTGGACTTCTAGAAAATCATCCTTACTAGTCCTTACTAATATCCTTACTTCCTTACTAATATTATAAATCAGAAAGTGAGTTTGTTTGTTTGTTCCGGTTTCACGCCGTAACTACTAAACCGATTGCTTTGAATTTTTGCAGACGTAAAGTTAGAAGTCCAGATTAAATAATACTTTTATCCTTTTTATCCCGGGTACTTTTTATCCCGGAAAACTTCGATATTCCCGAGGGAAAACCAAAGAATTGATATAGATGGCGCTGTGTGTATTAGTATTGGTATATGTCACATAGGCTACTTTTATCCTGCGAAGCTGCGGGTAAAAGCTAGTTATTAATAAAAGATACAATAGGTAGGTAGTTACGTGTGTGCTAACTAAATAATATACCTACTTACCTAATTTAAATTAATATACCTATAATACCTATAGAAAAATAGTTGGTACTTACCAACTATTTTTCGTTTGTTTCGTTTGTTACACTTGTAATAAGTTTTTAATGTTTTATCTGATCGAGAAATTGAGGGTATTGCTGAACATAGGCTCCCCTAATGACTTCGATGAAGCGACCAGGTATCGAAGGTACTAAAGTTTGCTCTCATTTTTTATTGCGGATCACCAAGTACTGTACATGATGTGCCGTGTAGCTTGAAAAGAAATTAGGTAGTGTTAAGCAAAAATTATGGATAGGTATTCTTTATAGGATTGGTCGGTATATGACCAGCCAGATGTCACCCTATTACATGGAAGTCATAACATAAATTGTGAAAAGTGGGTGTTATATTGTACAGTGATATTAAATGCCTTAGGCAAAGGTGCACATTGCACTTCTATCTATTTCTTTGGGGATAAAAAGGCGTGATGTTATGTAAAAATTAAACCTCACCACACTTTCTTACGTCATAATAAGTTCCGCAACAGAAACCTAACCCTATAATCATTCTAATGCTAATTTTATTCAAGTATTTCCAACCAATTGGGTAATAATGTACCCCTGCTCCTTGAGACTATCAAATATTCAAATTAACCCTAATTTTGTCGTTAGTGCTTAGGACAGCGACTTTTGAGCTGATTACAGGCATTTAGGACTTAAGTAATAAGTCTAGAGAGCACTAGACGCTTTATTAGACTTTAATAAGTGCTTGAGGAAACCGAATACATAATTTAAATTAAAACTCTTCAGTTTTTGCCAATTGGAGCGGTGGGGGAATTAATTTCTCCCAAATGAGATAGTTTTATTCAAGTACGCAAGTATTTATTAAGTTTTATAATTAGGAAGAAAAGAAATGCAAAAAGACGTGTTAAGTCTCGCGTAAGTGTCGGGTTACGGGTTACCGGGGCTCCGGCTCGAAGTGCAGGAGTAGGAACTGGAACTGGAAGGGTTTTTAGTCAGCAAAAGTCTGACACTCCCACCCGCCTCACCCAGGCGGGAGCAGTAATTCGATGATTTTTGCCCCCTTAAAAAATGTCCCGCGTAAGTACCTAATGTTATGTATATTAATAATTGAAATAGGTACGTAAAAACTCAATATTAATTTGTTTAAACTGAAAACCAGAAGTGTCAGTTATAGTATGCATATGAAGTGCATTTAAATCAATCAATCAATCATCAACAGCCTATAAATGCCAGAGCAAAGCCTCTTCTCACACGGAGGTTTGAGCATTAATCACCACGCTTGCTCAATGCGAGTTGGCGATTACAAACTTATACAAACTTAATTAAAAATTATAAGCCCAGGTTTCCTCGCGATGTTTTCTTTCACCGTTTGTCAGGGGTGTCTAGATATTCTTAGAAAGTATATTATGTAACTCGCAAAAAGTCACATTGATACTTGCCGTTGGTAGGTTTTAAACCCGCACCCTCGTGCATGAGAAGTGGGCGTCACCGTCGGACCAGCACACCATACGACACGGGCCAGTCAAGTGGCCACAGGTGAATTAAAATAAAAAATAAAAAACATTTGGTTAATAAAATATAAAGTTTTCTATTATACAAAATGTGATACAGTACATTACATACATAAACAATGATTATATTTTTACACAGTACACTTATGCTATAACATTAATTAACAATTAGTTACGTAATCTATTATATACCTTATCAAAGTGGCACATGGTAGAAATTGATCAATCAATATGACCAACTCAGTTACAGTATAAAAAAAAGATTAATTTTAGAATACATTTTATAAAGCAAAAAAAATATTGTACCTAATTGTTAAAGGTATAAATGATTATGTTTACCATACTTCATTTTTGTGGTGAACGGTCCTGGGACTCCTGGGGGCTTACCCTTGAATCAAATTCCAATCAATCAACAATGATATTGTGAAATTACGTATTGTTGAGTTGCAACACTAGCGCCTATTGCATCCGTATTGCGTGGGTACTGAATGAACTAAATGGCTTTTTATTCTGTACCCTGAATGAATGCTATTTTCAGTGAAGATGAGGGTTTTTTTACTTTTAACACCTTTTTAGATTATGTACTTTAATTTAATTTTCTTTTTTATATTTTTTGTGATTTAAACTGTCAAACACCAAGCGGTCACCGGTGACCGCGACCTATTGTTTTTTAATTGTGTCTATAAAACCGGTACTCGACGAGTTAAATTGATTAATGTAATTGGTATTAATCAATAAACAAATAAATAAATAAATAAAAATATTGTGTTCACAATGAATAATTGACAATTTCTTGGAATGCGATTGAATTGACATTGAGATTTGTTTCAAGAGTAAGCACCCTGATCAGCGAATTGAGTTTAAACTTTCAAATTACTTTAAATATTTAATAGTAATATAATGCATAAAAATGAAATCTAGTACCTATAGGTAGTTACATAATTATACATTTTGTGTTTAACAAATATTTTACTTCAAAATCATATATGTTATTAAACTGTCAAACACCAAGCGGTCACCGGTGACCGCAACCTATTGTTCTTTAATTGTGTCTATAAAACCGGTACTCGACGAGTTAATGCTAATAATCATGTTAAAATAACTATTATCACATAAATAGTTAGTACAAAAATCCTTCTAATATACATAATTACATTTTCTTAGAGAAGCAAGGAATATCATACATAACATAACATCACACCTTTTATCCCCGAAGGGGTATTCAGAGGTGCACATTACGGCACTTAATGCCACTGTACAATGTAACATACAAGTAACATACAGACATACATAAATACAATGTAATGTACAAAGAATATCAACAACAATCTGTTCAATCAACAGGATCTGTTTAGTTCAAATTAAACGTTTGATATTTGTTATCATTTTCATTTTTAACCATGGTCGTCCCAATTCAGGGCTAAGGCCTCTCTACGCTACTTCCACTCATCTCTTCTTATAGCCTTATATGGCAAATCCTTTTCAGAGACGTCAAGTTCATCCCGCCATCTCCTTCTGGGCCTACGGCAACGTCTATTGACGTTGAGTGAGCTCCACTCCATTATCATATAGACTGGTTAACTCGTCGAGTACCGGTTTTATAGACACAATTAAAGAACAATAGGTCGCGGTCACCGGTGACCGCTTGGTGCTTGACAGATTAATATCTAGAATGTATCATTAGAGAACATAGACATAGGCCATATTTTGCAGATGATGCCTCGTGTCTGATATGATAATAGTTTAATTCTTTTACATTTGCAATGTAATTTAATGTACGAAAATTGCAGAATGTAATTCTGCAAAGATTCAGCGGTCCCGATCAATTTAATTCCATTTAATAAATATAGAAAATGAGTTGTGCGAATCAATTTGGACTGTTAACAGGAGTTTATGCTCAAGTGAGTACAGTTTCCAGTGGTAATAGAACCCAAGTTGTTGGTGAAGATTTCTTTCAGCATCTGGAAAAGAGGATGACCACAGAAGGGTCGGGAAAATCTATACCTCAATCATATCTGTCCTATCCAATGTATTTACTGAACTTTAAGAAACTGTGAAGATGAACAAAAGGAAACTGAGCATGGGCACTGCTGAATGGAGACCCTCTAGAGGATTTCAGTATAGAGGGAACTGGATAAATGTTTATGACCGGTTAACATATGACCGATTGTTAACCGGATTCTAATTGATGTAGGCCTTCTGTAACTTAACCAACTTAACTTTTTTAACAAAACTTAGAATATAGCCAAAATACAATAAGTTTATATAACAGCTTAAAAATTAGATTACGTATGTAACTCTTTGACTACTAACAGAAAACTTGAAGGTAAGTCTTTCGCTACAGAAAAGACAATATGGCTGCCACAATGTTCCACATAAATTAATTATGAATACATAACTTAAATTCTCGCCTGCCTCCCATGGGCGCAGGCAGAGACTATGGAACACCAATTGCTATGATTCTTACATACCTCTTCGTTCGCTTCATCAACTATTAATTATTTATGAATTCAATTATTCAACTAATTATGAATCTATCTCTCTTTTATACCATGTAATGAGTCGTCATTCACACTCCGTCGTCTTTTCGGAACTTCCACATTCTGTTCATCCTGTAACTGTCCAATTCCAATGAGCATCATTTTGATATGTGCCTTAATCTTAGCAGCCTTATTCTGCAATGCCGTAGCCAGCTCCTCAAACGCTTTTATTCTTACATCCAAGTACTTATTAGCCTCTTCGAGTGTAAACTCCAAATAATGATTTAAACCTATATTCATTAGCAATTTAGAAGTATCACGGACTGCTGCCTCCATAAAAAAGTTGCAACCTATATTTACTTGTGTCTTAAAGCCGTTAGGATGCATCTTTTTGTCTGTGATCACTCTTATTGTATGTTTCTCTTGGATCAAGTCTGAAATTTCGGCGTTGGTTTTTTCTAATTTTATTTGCACTCGACGTAGGTCTTCTCTTAGTACGTCGTTGATAAAGGTCTCGTATTTAAAGATGGTTTCTTCTATGTTAGGAGTAGACATCGTGATGTGTTCTTAATAGTGTTTTAAAGGAATTTGTTGTTGTTGTTGTTGTTCTCACATACTTAACCTTCAAATTGTTTTATATGTTTTCGGTACTTTAGCCACCAAACGAAGTCAAATGTTTCACTGATGTAAATTGTTAATTACTTTTTTGTACGACTTGTACGAGCGAATTATTAAAATTTATCGAAAAAAAAGTATATTCACAAAGCCGGGAGAACTATATTCAGACAAAAGTAAGTTATCAACTTATCATACTGACAGTTTGACTGTTGACAGTTTACAGAGAAAGTTAGAAAGACAACATGTTTTGAATGGACATCAACAAAAAAATGAATTTGTGTGTGCTGAATACGTTGAACATCTAGTTATTTACCTAAACATATTTTTTTATCTCTACATACAACGAAGCAAGAAAACTATTTAACTATGAAGTAATTTGTAAAAACAGTACCTATAATCATTACCTAAATAACAGTACCTATTATAAAGTAAGATCATTCTTAGAGTCGGTTAGAAATAGTAAAACAAGACAAATACATAACAATTTTTATATTGAGCTTTATAAATTATTATAAGTTTGCAACAGCGACATCTTTACTTACTTTCCTGTACAATTTAAAAATGTGACATCTAGCGAATAATACATGAACTAACAATACCTCCTCGTACGTACATGTTGTAAAGACAAAACATTTTTATGTTATCTACGAGATGGCGGTACTATATCGTAAAACTATTTTCGCGCCCAATATTATTTATATGTTGTAGCAAGTACGTACATAGGTACCTCCTGCGCTTTTTGCAGATTCCTAATGTCGATTTTCACTAACCGCTCTACTACACCTTAAGGTAAAAGGTTAGGTTTAAATGCTCCCGCTTACGCTAAGTGATATAGTTGATGATTAAAATCTTAAAAAATCTTTTGTCATCATCTAATTTAAAGAATCAATAATAGGCGCATGAAAGTGTACTACGAGTTGAGTAAATTTTGTTGAAACTTATTGCAGTGCCTGCTTATGGCTTTATTAGATGCATTTTTCATATTTATAACCACTGGTATCAACCATCACGTTAATATATTGATTTTTGAGTTTCTCAGCTGGTAGACTATTTAATTACAGGCATAATATTAATTATATGCTTAAATACAATAGTGTAATCCATAGAGCAACACGGGCCACCGGCGGACCGGACTCCGTGTTGCTCTATGGTGTAATCACGTCTTTAATTAAAAAATAAACATTTTGTCCTATTTCTACCTCTTCAAGTATAACGAAGAATATGCTTTAAAATGTAATTACAGAGTTACCTACGTACGGGGGATAAGGAAAGGGTTCATAAATAAATCAAACAAAACGTTGAAACGATCATCGAAACCGTTTATTTGACAAGAAATAGTTTAAATATCACTTTTCACATTAGAAAACCAGCAAAACTTGCAGAAATATCTCATATTTCAATATGTATTCGATAAATAAATATTACAGGACATGTACAATACATCGATTGGACCTTAGTCTTACTTAAATGCTCGAATTATTTTTCTTTACTAAAAAAATCGCAAAAATAAAAACCTAAATTATGTATTGAAAAACTGCCAAAGCCAATTTTACAGCACCTTCACTCGACGAGTATGCATGATGTATGAAAAGATTGATAAATGTGGATGAAGCGAAAGAGTCGTGTCATATGGCTTTCCATTGCCTGCCCACTCCAATAGAAGACAGGCAAGTCGTGACGATAATTATCTATAAATAGACAGTATGTATCAACATTGAAAATAGGTAAGTTGCAATATTCTTACCTCTACAATTTGAACTGATATTTCGAAAGTAATAGACAAAAAAGTTTTTTTTTTAAACAAATCTCGAGCATTTTTGACTAAGGACCTTCGCCACAGACAATACATAATTCGATATGAATTATAAAATTATAATAATAGATACAGATAGCACTTAAAATATTTATTTATTTCTACGAAAATACGTTCTATGTTCACAGAAACAAAAATTACTCAAGTTTGTTGAATTATCGTGCAATTATGAATAATTAATTAAAATAGATGTAATACATACGCAATAAAGATGTTTTCAGACAGGATGTCAACAATTTAATAAATTATATTAATATTGTACAAAACTGGGAATTTTTAACGTTCACATGTGCAGTTTATTTTTACACAAACTATTAGTCGTTAACAAAATTGTAGATGGTTTAAGTGTACTGATTAGAAAAAAAACATATTATTGTTTTTGAAGTTAGGTAGGTACTTTTTAATTTAATTTTAATGCGGTAGTATCGAGAAAGTTAACGATCGTAACAATCACAATGTTAAGTATCGACTGTCGACTTATATTGTAAAAATCTTTTATTCATATTTTTTTTATTAATATTGGCAATTTTTATTTGTTCACTGTTTTTTATTCGGAACAATCTGTGTAATCATACATATCTACTTATTCTGTATAATTATTTTTCAAAAATCCTACCTAGTCTTTCAAAATCATTTTTTTTCTTTTTAATCAATACACTTAATTGGTTATTTTAGTAGGATTGACAGCAAAGACCTATGTTTCTAACTGTACTGTAACACTTAACGATAATTTGTTTATTTAACAGTTTTCAAACAAATAAACCCTGTACGGTTGTCTGAAGGTTATAATGTTATTGAGATGTTATTTTTACGTTTTAAAACTGCAAATGTGAACTGTTTTTAAACCAACCGTTTAGTTGAGAGTAAGGTTTAATGACAACATTTTCAACAATTGCAACATTTTTATTCTTCTTTTGTTGGCTGATTCTTAAGGTGTTTGAACCTGGACTCCCAACTAAAAGTTGGATCAAATTTAATGAAAACAACATAAGATAATAACAAAACTTTTTCCGCAAAAGATGTCGCCTCTACCGACCCAAAACCACTTCCTTACAGCAATTCCTTAAAAACTAATCTTAAATATTTAAATCGTTAATTTAAATTTGTTAGCTATACTACTGTGATGGACTGTCGCTTAATTTATGTGCTGTTACTGACTTCTTATACTATACAAAAGAGAAAAAATGTATTTTAGGAAGATTGTGACGTAAGCACCAGATGTTACGGACGATTGGGGTACTTATGATTCTTTTTACAATTACCTGATAAACAAAAGCAGCTAGACATTACAACTTTGGCTTTTTACCTAAATATGTTCGCGTAAAGATAAAAAATCTACTTTAATTTCGACACTACGTAATCTTAATGGACTCACGAATTGGACAAAATTACGAAGAACTTTTTTTTTTCATTCATATTTAAGTAGTTAGGTAGTAGGTAGGTACTCTAAATTTTTATTTATCTTATTGATTATCACAAAAATTGTGATGCCTCGATTCGATGGGCGGAAGTTTAACATTGAAATGTTAATCTAAAAATTACAACAATAATCATAAATAAGTAATGTCAACGTTAAATCCTAAAACTTAAAAATTATTAGATCTTAAAAAATACTAGGATCCTTTCACAATTTACAACTACAATAATAATAGGGTACAATTATTTCAGTTCTTACTGTGCTATTAACAAAAAATTCACAATGACATTATCTTTAAATGAATAATCAGAGAATTTATAACAGTTAAGGTAACCACTCCTGTTTGGAGTACTTCTTACCTTATTAAAACTAAATAATATCCTGACAACTCGTCAATGTAATTATATATTTACAAATTATTTACAATATGTAAAGACGTAGGTGCGTAGAATCTTGAATACACTCTAAGTTTCCTTACGAAGTATTAGAATAATTATAATATTTTACTTGAAATCGTACTAGTTAATAGTATGAAAACTATGAAAAATGTGAGACGGTCGATTTCTAGGGGACGAAGTTTGGTACGGCTGTTAGGAGATTTTCTTGGACGTTTTGTTACCACGAAAATGAAAAAAACCATTTTAAATACAAATGTTCTTAAGTATTGAACAAAAAATCCATGAAAACATTATAGAAAATTTGGTTGTGTTAGATTAAAAGAAACCTACAAACAGTAGCTAGTTAAGAAACGAGAAAATTAGAAAGTTACATCGCTAAATTTTACAAAAATATTTTTTTATAAAAGTAAAAACTAAAAAAAAGTATTCGAAAAACAAAATGGTTTTTATTTTATTCTGTTCTCAACGTGACTAGCAATTATTTAATAGGTTTCAAAATATAAAATACAACATAATGTATCAAACTTTTGTTTAAATTAAATGATATTCGCTAGAGAATTCTACTTACGATGTACCCAATTGTAGGTTAGCAAATTCAAAAAATGAAATTCCATTGCGAAAATTGTATCATCGACTTTTTCTAAAATAGTACAGACTACATTATTTCTTACAATGGAAAACCATTACCATACCACACACAATTTTATATAAAAAATACTAATCAAAACATTAAAAAAATATCAGTTTATGAATTTGAGATCATAACCAATTCAAAATTTCGTAAATATCACATAATATACCTGACCAAACCTACGCAAGTACAAAGTTCTTTAATTTTAAAGGATGGAATGAATAAAGTTAAAAGTAGTGCGTGCTTTAGGAATAATAGAAACACACTGTGATGTTTAATACAAATGAAAAGGAATAATTAATTATAAGTAAGAAATGTGAATGTTGCAATATTTAATAACAATTGTCTTGATCACAATGACAATTGTGATCGTTAAGTCATAAACAATCACTGGTTTATTTTTCATATCACTTCGTTATGTCACCTACATGTCAATGTCAAAGATTGACGTTTTGATTCCCGCCAATACCTTTTTCTTTATATTTTGTAGGCACAATAAAACGTGTATTTGTTTTCGCAAGGTTGATTCCATAATCCTAGCAGATATACAATGAAACCGATCTAATATTTCTTCAAATTACGCCACATTGGTTTTTAAGAATATTTTTTTCGACTTCATGAACCTAAGTTTTACCTTTGGACCTACCTAGTGGTGGTCAACCACCACTACTAAAATAA